CAAATTAGAAATACTAACCGTGTGATTAAGTGGTACAGTTCTAGTCGTGTAGACAAATTCTGGGTTGAGTCTTAATTGTGCGTTTGTTGTGAGACTATTTTTTTTTACACACAAAAAAAAGGGAGGGGGGTATGGGGAAAAGAAGGCAAATGAATGTTAATTGTTACAGTTGCATAAAATTTTGGATAAAATTTTGGTTAATAATAAAAAAAACTTCTCTTATCTAAGAACCATGGTCGCTCTAACCAATATGAAAAACCCTAATGCTTGTTATTTGAAATGCCATTTTTTGTACGTAGCGATGATTAAAACTCGTCTGAACTCGACAGTTGTTAATAACTTAAAATTAAACTAATATACAGTTGTAGAAGTTCGATAACAATGTGAATCAACTTGAATAGTATGCGTATATCTCAATTTGATGATTCATTTGATAATTTATATAAGTATATAATAATATCCAAGCGGAATCACATAAATTAGCTTAGTAGAAAGTCGTATTAAAAACATAATTCATGAATGACTCCGAAATTATGCAGTTTCAGAAAATAATTCATAACTTAATTAATATAATTCTGATTCATTCATACTATACATCAAGTAGAATCTAGTAGAGATATCTAGAAATCACTAAAATTTCATAATTTTCTGAAGAGAAATAATTAGTAAAATAAGTGCTTAAACAGGATGCTACTAATCTGTAATTTAACTAGTATTCATTAAAATTCATATCTTCTAATTCTTAATTACCCAAACTAATTCTTAATCATATAAATAATTATAACACATAAAAATCATATTATTATTCTTTATTCCTATCTCAGTAAAGACAAGATTCTCACCTATGTGATCAAAATCGAAGACAAGGGAAGGGTAAACCGAAAGATTCTTGGATGTGTGACATCGTGACCTTCGAACTTTGGCCATGGATGATCTTGGGATGACTTGGGCTGAGTTTGGAGAGCTTAGAAGGATTCTCTTGAATATTTTGGGGGAATATGAGAGAGAGAGAGAGAGAGAGAGAGAGAGAGAGAGAGAGAGAGAGAGAGAGAGAGAGAGAGAGAGAGAGAGAGAGAGAGAGAGAGAGAGAGAGAGAGAGAGAGAGAGATGATTATTTTTAGCTGCAGAGCTAGAACAACTATAGTATTTTATTCATTGATGCACATACAATATATACAAAATAGATTTAATAAATAATAATATAAAAGTTAAAATCTGATCGTCGTAGTTAAATAATAGAATGTTGATTATTTCTATAAATAGTAGTTTTATCAAAATAAATTGTCAATTTAAAATGATCCAAAGGCATTACGCAACATCCACTGGAAATCAGAACATTAGTATTTAATTTGAAACAGAAACCACCACTACTAGGGGAGCCTTCTCCGTCACCACCACCCTAATCATTCAAAAAGTACTTTCTAATAACTTCGTCGAACCCAGTATACTTATCGAGGCCCACTACTTCGTCATCATCAACTATCACCGGCCCATCACCCATTACCACTAGCGGCGCCGGAGGTGGTGGTGGAACTGGTGGAGCTACTGGAGCAGTTGACGGTTGATGGGCGTCGCTGCGCATGACCATCGGCAATTGAATCTGCATCGAGGCCCCGCCCTCTGGATCCTCAGTCCGATATTTATTCAGATAAACTGTCCGGGGCTACACGTAGTCATCGAACCCCAGTGAGCCCATGGCGGTGATTACATCTTCTGGGTGGATGGTTTTTTTGTACTCGCGGTGGACGTTCTCATTGGCCTCACTTGTTACAAAGGAGATGAACACTGAGACACACTCTTGAATAATCTCCTTCACATCATGGGAAATTTTTGCAGCGGGCGGGAGCGCCCTACGTAGGACTCCCGCCTGATGTCTTGCAGTGGCACCAGATTTTGATCGCCGTCATTTGTTGTGGGGGACTATTGCCTCGGGTTTGATTGTGCCTGAAATGAATAAATTTTATATTTTTTATTTAAAAGCATATCAAATAAAGGCATCCCAATGTTCAAAATTGACCGAATGTTTGGTTACATTTTCAGACCAATATTTATTTTCTTCATATATTTATAAAATAACCAAGTAATGGTATACCAACTATGTAAAAATCAAATATAACCCCTAATTTATTGCACTTAATTCGTTTCAACAACAAAAGAATAATGACAACCATGCATATTTACTCTCATTTTTTGCACTTATTTATTCTATTAATTTCTCAGACTTTTATTCTTCTATAACACTTCAAGTATATATCATCTCACATTTTATTTTATCAATACACCTCATGGATATGTATATACGTGACATGTATAAATAAAATCCATAAGATGCAACATAGTATCCAATTTTACTTAAAGATTTTTTTTTATGATTGACGTTTCCCCTTTTTTTCAATCCCAATCCTTTTGTTTGCATCATGAACGCCATCTAGATGTCAGATTTCCGAAAAAAAACACGATTATTTTTTTTGACATTTCTACTTAAGATATATCGTGCAAAAAGGTAAAAATAAAAGGAAAAATAATAATTCAAGTATATAAACTCAGAATCAAATAAAGTAAATTAACGCGTGTTGTGCGCCGTCAAAACATGAGTTAATCAAAGAATGTTACTTGACAAATATAAAAGTAATCAAAATAGAATCATATACGAAAGCCGACAAAAATATAATTTTTACTTAATTCAAACAACAATCTCTATACGAGGTATCTAAAAGATCTGTAAACTTAAATCTGACTTATATAAGATAATAATAAAACAAAAGATCCAAAAAATTAAATTAAGAGCTTGAATGTTAGATTGCCAGTACACAAGAAAATTAAATTAATTTTTTTCATAAAGATTTTATCTAATTCAAAAAAAAATGATAGCAAATTTGTTTTGAACAACTTTTACCTGATGCGGATGCAGATGCTCTTGTGGTATCCTTATGGTGGTTATTTGAGTTTCCTCCAATCTCCATCTTTATGATTTATTTCAAATTTTATTTGTGAATGTATGTCTTCTCACTCAAATGGCACACATAAATTCACTATATGCTTCTTAGATTTTTTGTATGAAAAGTGACGTGAAAAGGCAGATGTGCATTCAATATATAGAGATATGTTTAGGGTTTGGGAATTCGTCCACAATGGCAAATTAGGGCGGTGAAGATTTGTCATTAGTGGTGAAGGTAAGAGTAAATTCGGGAAAAATAAAATTTCCTTGTACCGTCAAAAACTAGTATATTGTTTTTTTGTTTTGAAGAGTGAAAATGTTTTCGAATTAAAAAAATTCTATAATTTTTTGCTTTTAGGAGTAAGTGAATTATAATAAAATACCATAAATGCATTTGTGAATATGACTGGATTTATGTTATTCATTCAAGAAGATGTAATATTAGGTTAGTTCTTACAAATATTGGATTCTCGTATACAACAAGCATTATGAATAACAAGAAAATATGTCTGAAATTTGAAACATATTATGGTAATAAAATATATACATAGCAACACAATTGACCCTGGTTCAGACAACTCAAAACGTATAATTCATCAAAGAATGTAGGACGAAACTCACATTCTAGCCTGATTCCTCAATTATATGGTAGAGTTAATACAGTTTTCAACCAAAAATTCAACATTGTTATAATATATTTATATATCTAATCATTTATGATTTCGGCAATTATTTTGAAAATTGAATAACCAAATGTGTATGTTGATTTTCAACTAGTTGTTGGTTAGGAGTCATGACGCATTTTCGGCTAATTGTTTGAATATATAGAATTATAAACTAAGGTGAAAATATAATTTTTTTCTATATAAGTCACGCCGCAAAAAAAATTCATGCATGAAGTACCTATAAGATTTATATACTAACTATATATGCCATATTTTCAAATATAAAATAAATATCCAAAACACAACTAGAGAGTTAATAATTAGTATTCATTTTTCATGTGTTAACAAAAAAGGGGAAGAAATCCATTATAATACACATTGGTTCATATATACATTACGTTTCAAATGAAAATGATAGGAAAACTTTTATGCAGTTCTTTAAACATATCTTTACGGCCAACTTGAATATTATTTTTCCTTCTAGTCCTAATTATCTGTGATTTTTCAGTGCCATCTGAATCGATGAAAACGCGCTGATAATTGATGCATTTTTTAATAGACTACTATGAAACATTGGATTGATGAAATGGAATTTGAGTTTTACCTCAAATCGCTGTCGGATTGCTCGTTTAATTCGCGGGAATTCGAAGAGTGTTGGAGAGAGTTAGAGAAGACTTTGAATTTTTTTGAAATAATATATAAATGAACTAAAAAGGCACTGTAATGTGGTAAACGTTGCACTATGAATAGCATTTCAATATTATTAATCAGTGTATGAATACAAACTATGGGTTCTCTAGGGTCTAAAAACGCCATACCTCTCGAACCATAAGTGAATTGATTTGGTCATGTGCAT